AATAACAAAATAATAATAATAATATTCGGATCCCAATGAGAAACATATTTATATACTTTTTAAGATGACACAAAACAAGTTTTAAAAATGACTGTAGTCTTAAGAAAGAATTTCTTTTGAGCCACACAAAGGTCATYCTGCCCTCATTTCCTTCTTGTTTTACACTCTGATCATATCTTTCTGTATCAGAATCTATCAGTTTAACACACGAGGATCTAATAGCCCGTGTGTGCGTGCACGTGGCTGAATACGTCAAACAAAAACGCACAAACACACACAGAGGTCAAGCTGATGTCCAGCCTGCAGGCGGAGGTTTGCAGCAGAAATGAAACGGAAGCTGCAGTCGCGTGTTCCTCCACAGGAGGGCAGCAAAGAGCGCGTGTTCCTGTGCGCCTATTAGTTTAACGGTCCATATTTAGAAAATCCAAACAAATGTATGATGTTCACATGACAGGAGGACACGGAGATCATCATGAGATTAAACAAAACACTAGAACTTATTTAATAAATAGAGAAAACTGCATATGTCATTAAAACGCTACACRTTTCCCTTAAATTGTTTTCAAATTAGAAAAATAAATATCTTTATCAACAAAGTAAACTCGTGCATTTGACTGACAAGATGCAGGTGTCTTACCTCGTGAAGGTGGCTGCATGTACACACAGGAGGTGAGGGGGAGTGGGCAGGTGCAGACGGAGCAGCTAAGTCCTCGGACGGAAACTGGGACTCCAGGGGGGTCAGTGACGCGCCGGGGGGGGGCTCCTTTGCACCCATCGCGCCAAGACGCATCAGGAGCAACCATAGCAGATCCAGGCAGGTAGATCCCTTAGATCCCTTAAAGTCCAAAACGGGTCCTCCACCTGTCCGAGGCGCTGAAGTAAGAATCCAGWGAGGGCGCCGGTGAAGGTCGGTGGGCAGGAAGAGCCGCGAGCGCGCTAAACGAAAGGCGGCTCTATTCCTCCAATTGGAAATTATATATTTATATCGAAAGTTCATGTTCACGGCTCGTGGCCACGTGACGAGCCGAGGGGCCAATGGGAGGCCGAGGCGCCTCGTAAAGTTGGACCGCTACGTTGTAAATTTTCATAAACAACAACGGATTTATGGCCCAGCCCGGGCCGGGGGTGGGGGGTGGGGGGTATGGAACTGAGGAAGGGGAGGGGAGAGGGGCTCAGGCGCCATCTTATGCCGAGAGAGGAGAGGGAACGCAGAGTTCAACAGTAATTTCCTCTCCATCCGGCAGCCTGTCCCATCTCGCATCCTCATAGTTGACATTCTTCAACTTCACTGTTTATCTAAGCCCCTCATCATGGAGCCCGGCGTGTTTCAGGTCTGGTACGGGTCTCGTGCCGAACCACTCATTACTGCCCAATGATACATGTAACGCGGTCATGATTCGGTCAGCTTTAAGTCAGGTGAKGGATGCTGGGTGAGGACGCGTGGGCGCGTCCAAGATGTTTTTATTAAAAACTCACAGATTTCATATCATGGATTTTTACAGTAGTTTTTATATTTAGATCATGTGTTGATGCTTCACAGTTCAAATAAACAACAAGAGCAAATCCGGGTTTGGTGATTTGGATGCTCTACAACCTTAAAGCTCACAAAATAAACATGTTTACAGTGAAAATGTACAAATACCGTGCGCGTTAGCCTCGCGCACACATTCAAGACATGCTTACAGTTTAATCAACATATTAAAGTGTGAAAATTAAAATATACACTCATTCAAAACATAATAATAATAATAATAATAATAATAATATTCGGATCCCAAT